TAGAGGCCGTACCAGAATGAGGTTTTCGGACGTTTGAAAAGACGATTGAATACAGAATTTGACCAGCTGTCGTTCGGGGGTAGATATTTCCGCGTTCCCATCCATAAGGGGACGTCTTCTGGCTTATCATCTACTTCAGAATTGGCGCGAGTTCGGACGTAAGTAGTCCAAGCTTCATCGTAGATCTCCCATATTGTCTGTGCTGTAACGAGACAGCCTGTTTGTCGGGCCGACTCCTCTTCGCTTTGTTCTAATCGTTCAAGGCGGGGTAGAACACGTTGCCCGAACTCCTTACGCATGTCCTCCCATTTCAGCTTTAGTTTGGAAAGCATATGCTGGTGGTAAGCCCGAGCAATTTCTTCAGTAGCTAGACGAAGGACTCTGTCTACCAACTCTTCTGCCGCGTGACGACGCCCATGTTCAAATTCGGAACGGGCGTGCTGAAGTAACTGTCGCAGGCATACTTCGATCGCGACTTTGGACACAGTAAAACGCTGGATACTCATTTGAGATACGAGGCCGCGCTGGAAAGGATTTCGAGGGATATAAAGCTGAACGAGAACCTCTAAGGCGATATGTCCGCCATACCAATCAAGACTCGAGGGAGGAATCCACAGCATTCCAGAGTCCTTGATGGCCATGTCAAGTCCAAGGCCCCGTCGCTCTAGCAAAAGCCTGATATTGGGTTTTCGACGAGTCTGGATCGTCCACTGCGGCAGCCAAATCCAATTGTCATATGAGAACCGTTCTTTACGTGCGAGTGCATAAGTGAGAAGCCGACAGAAGAGCTGAGCAGTATAGAAAGCGAGAATTAAGGCAGGGGGCGAGATAGTAGTACCGCGATGAATTTGCGTAGTATTCGAGGCTTGTCGCCGGCCTCGACTGTTCGCGGAAAGATCGCTCAACATACCCTCACTCAAGGCGAGGAGTGGAAGAAAACCTGATCCGAATATTTCATAATCACTGAACATGACAGAAAACAGCTCTTTAGGCAACTATAGGCCATGGCGCGAATGACCCCTGGCCTGCGCTCGTGGGGATGGCCTGGGTTGGTGGCTCGAGTACGCTTCGCCTTGACTTGATAGTCCCCGATATCCCGCAGTAAGAATTTTTGGAAATGTACAGCATCCGAACGAGACTCATGTGCGATTCTGGAGATTTGCTCATGCAGATGAGAATGGCACTGGCTCTTCCATAGAACAGTGAAAGGTCCCTGCCTGGCAGTGCTATGGGGTGGATCACTCGCAACATAATCGCGGGCTCCAATATCGATCCAACAGGAGTGAATGACCAGGTGTGCAGGATCAAGAGCCCCAAGGACTGAGCTCTCGAAATCGTCTAAGGATGCGTTAAGTGTTTCTTTCCCAAAAGTATTCTTCAAGTCGTGAGACTGAAAAAGCAATCGAGGACCCTTGAAATATGGCACAGTTTCTCCGCTCTTGGTCGTGAGCTGGAATTGATCCGCTTTATTGACTACCAGAGTCCAGAAAAGAGGAAGGTCTTCTGCTGGGATCGTATATTGCAGATGGACTGCCCTGTTGACATCATCAGCCCTCCATCGATTATTTCCTGGCTTTTCTTGGGACGAACGAGACTTCGCATACGCTATGTCGTACGTTCGTGGTATTTCCTGGCGGCAAGGATCAGACATGGCCTCACAAGCTGCCGGGATGATGATGTGATCATAAAGATCTTTTTGACGCTCAAGGGACAAAGCATTCCGAGTGGCTGAGGTTGAATCAGGGGCCGCACAAGGGAAAAAGAGAAAGACCGAAAAATGTACACTATGTGTGTTGAAAGTACCAAACTTGATATGCCTTGTCCTGGCCAGGTCCAGTCCATGAGGTTGAATAACCTGGTCGCATGACAGGTTTAGGGCGAGAGAGGGTAGAAAAGATAGGCGGAAGTTGTTGGGAGGTCGGATTGCTTGCAGACCTGTAGCTCCAAGCCAAATGCTGTCAATATCTCATTGTCTACACAGAACCAACTCTGGTTCGTTCTTGGGGAGAAGTTGCATCTGCGATTTGCGAAACGAGAGCGGCTGACCAGGCTTGTTTGACAGGAAGTCCCTCCATTGTCGGAAAAAGCTGCCGGGATCATAAGATCCAGCCTCACCAAAAACCGTCGGTAGAGAAGGAAGGCAACTTTGTAGGTACTCTGCGCTCTCTCGGAGAGAACAAGTATGTTCTGGCTCATTGACCTCGAAATCATTTTCACCTGATCCAAGTGTTCCTGTCAGAATATAACATTCAATAACCCCTTAAGAGATACGATAAGACATACATTTACACTTAGAATGGAAGAAAATCCAGAAAGCCTGGTCGTACGCAGTCTCATGCGAGTCGAAAAAATCAGACCTTAACTCGTTGTCTTGATGCCGGAGGGCTTCAATGAAGCTATCGGGCGTCTCATTACGGTTTTCATCGACATCGGAG